GCAGCAAGGGTGATGATATGAGTGATGAAATGGGTGAAAAGAGAATCGACGCCGAGAACGTGGATGAGCTCAATGTTGAAGAAAATCCCAGTGACAAGGCTGAGAAAATGCCCGAGACCCAGGCTGTGGACGCGACTAAGCATGAGCCCAGCTACGAGAACGAAGGCAAGACCGAGGATAAGCCCGAGGTCAAGACCGTGGAAGTGATCGAGCACGAGAATAGAGACAAGGTTAGGGACAAGTCTGGTGATGAAGGGGTCGAGAATAAGGAGAAGACTGATTATAAGGAGGGATGTGAGTGATGCATTCCGTGAGCTCGAAGTGTTCTCATGATGGCTAATCGAATTGACGTGTAGCTTCTTCAGAGATGCCAGTCGCACCCCCCAGCAGACCAGTTCGGCCAACCGACCTCATGGGGCCACTTGCTTCTCATCTGTTCGCCAAATTGCTGCGCGGTGAACACTGCGATTCTGTTATTGTGCTCCGGTCAGCGACTGATAACTTCTTGCCCATGGAATTTCACGTACACAAGGTCGTGGCCACACAAAGCCCGTTGGCTGCTGCCTGCTTTCACTCCAGTAACCAAATCATTGCTGTTGTGAGAGAGAATTTTGGGATGATCAAAGGATTCGAATTGGCGTTTTGGAATCTCTATGGCCATCCTCTCGTGACGCGTAACCAACTTAGGTCTTTAACGCTTTCAGCATTCGGGTACACCCAAGACGCCAGGGGCCAGCTAAACTTCCACGTCAATGGGGCCATGACCGACTTCGCCATTTGCTATGCTACCTCGGGGGTCTTCTTTCAGCTGCACAATGTTGCCGAAGCGGGCTTCACCATGGTAACCGAGCTTGTCGATTGGGACACGGCCGAGCTTATTCTCTGCATCGGCCTCGATATCCTCAAATTTGCAGTCAATCTGGAAGCCGGCGCTGGGCGTGGCCACGAGCAGGTACACAACCAGAACACCGCTCGAGAGCTGCAGGAGATGTGGGCACCGCTAGTGATCAATGCAGTATTGGAGTTTATCTGCAAGTATTTGAGGGAGAAAGAGGGGTTTTCGTTGGTCGCCGGAGCACAGAGCACAGTGATGCCAGATCGGATCCCTGAGTCTCTGAGAACTTTTCCCAGCGCCGTGACGGCCAAGACTAAGTTGTCCGACGTCAAGTTTGGATCATTCTCAACATCTCATGAACAGAAGCCAACCAAAGAAGCTGTCATCTCGTCCGCTATTTTGCTCAACCTGCCGTTTGAACAACTTAGTTTGACCTTCACAATTATGACAGCACGAAGCGTGCTGTCGGTGGAGCTAGCCCAGGCGGTGATCAGCGCAAGGGAGACACGACGGCAGCAGGCTCTCCCTCTGATCCCCCAGCAGAGCGGTCCCGGACGCTCTGCTGGGGAGGGAGAGCTGGGGTACCGGGAATACCTCGCAGGCAACGCGCCAGGGCCACAGGCGTCGACGACAGAGCTCGAGCTGAGGCGGGAGTGGGTCGGGGTGGGCGCTGTCTCCGAGCCCTGAGAAGGGCCCGGAGACGCCCTCCCGCCCACTACCTGGGTTGCGTGATAGTAGGGGCCTCTGGAAATGAGGGAGGAGGGGAAGGGGGCAGGGGGATGAAACACAAAGATCGGAA